TCGGTGACTCGCAACTTCCAGACAGCAAGGTACGGGGCCCTCAGGGGCCAAACTATATGAAAACCGGCGTGTGGAGGTGGGGGCAGACCTGAGGGGGGTGTTAGAGGAAGGGGGGGGGGGGCGGTGGAAGGTTCTGGAAGCTGGAGAGGAGGGGGCACGTGCTGGGCGGCCGCCATGTTGTGCAGTGACGTCATTCCATGTGACAACAGCTCGGCCGTTGGGGGATGGTGGTTACTCCTAGCAACCAATCAGCATCCCTTCTCCTCTGATTGTAAAGGGCAATAGCTCCTCTCAGGGTGAAGGGGGGCCAATCAGGGGTCATGTCTGGGAGAGTGGGCGGATTCTGGGGCCCTCCTGTGTGTCCAGGCCTCTGATTGGATAAAAGGCCATTTATGGACATTCATACTTGTTTGGTGCCTCAGGTGGGGGAGGGTGTTTGGTGGGTGATGGAGGTCTGTTGTTCTTCCCCCCCCCCCCCCCCCCCCCACATGATCTGTCCATGATGTGCCCCGTGGTGGCGGTTCTCTGCGTTCCGTGATTAGCGCAGGGCTGGTATTGGCGGGTTTAGGGGTTTGCTGACAACTGGGACTATTTGAAGGGGAGGCGGAGCGTTTGGCTGGTTGGCCACTTTATGCCGCGGGTAAGGTGTGTGCGGAGGGGTGATGTTGGTACAATGCCTGGGGGGGCTGAGCTGCGGGGTGAACCCTAAGTCACTATAGGTGAGGTTTGGGGTGGCAGAGGGACATCGTGGGAGAAACATGCAGGTTGGGGTGACCACAGGTGATATGGGGAGCGGAGGGATGCCATGGGCAAAGCATGTGGATTTGGGGGTGCCTTAGGATAACATGGGGAGCAGGGGGGTACAATGGGGAAGACACGTGGGTTGGGGTAGCCATGGGTGATGTAGGGAGAAGAGAGAAGCTGAGCGATATGGGTAGGTTAGGGGTGAGCAGAGGGATGTCATGGGCAAGATGTGTGGGTTTGGGGTGCCCTTGGGTAGCAGAGGGATGCCATGGGCAAGATGTGTGGGTTTGGGGTGCCCTTGGGTAGCAGAGGGATGCCATGGGCAAGATGTGTGGGTTTGGGGTGCCCTTGGGTAGCAGAGGGATGCCATGGGCAAGATGTGTGGGTTTGGGGTGCCCTTGGGTAGCAGAGGGATGCCATGGGCAAGATGTGTGGGTTTGGGGTGCCCTTGGGTAGCAGAGGGATGCCATGGGCAAGATGTGTGGATTTGGGGTGCCCTTGGGTAGCAGAGGGATGCCATGGGCAAGATGTGTGGATTTTGGGTGCCCTTGGGTAGCAGAGGGATGCCATGGGCAAGATGTGTGGATTTGGGGTGCCCTTGGGTAGCAGAGGGATGCCATGGGCAGACGCGTGGATTTGGGGTGCCCTTGGGTAGCAGAGGGATGCCATGGGCAAGATGTGTGGATTTTGGGGTGCCCTTGGGTAGCAGAGGGATGCCATGGGCAGACGTGTGGATTTGGGGTGCCCTTGGGTAACATGGAGTAGAGGGATGCCATGGGCAAGACGTGTGGATTTGGGGTGCCCTTGGGTAGCATAGGGTGCAGAGGGATGTCATGGGCAAGGTGTGGATTTGGGGGAGCCCTTGGGTAACATGGGAGTAGAGGGATGCCATGGGCAAGGTGCGTGGATTTGGGGGAGTAGGGGATGCCATGGGCAAGGTGCGTGGATTTGGGGGAGTAGAGGGATGCATGGGCAAGGTGGTGGATTTGGGGGAGCCATCGGGTAACGGAGCAGAGGGATGTCATAGGCAAGGTGTGGATTTGGGGGAGCCATTCTGCAACATGGGGAGCAGAGGGCTGCCATGGGCAAGATTAGGGGGTGCGTGTGACCCCCTCTAACATAAGGAGCAGGGGAATGATGCGCGTGGGTTGAGGCCACCATGGGTGATGTAGGGAGAAGAGGGAAGCTTTGGGTGAGATAGGCAGGTTAGGGGTGAGCAGAGGGATGCCATGGGTGAGATGCATGAGTTGACAAGCAGGGGGACTCGGTGGGTTTGGGTGTCCATGAGCAACGCGGGTAGTGGAGAGATGTTGTGGGTCAGGAGTGAGCAGAGGGACACTGAGCGCAATATGAGGGTCAAAGGCAAGCAGAGGGACACCTTGGGTTGGGGCGGCCATTGGCCATTTATGGAGCAGAGGGGTGCCATGGGCAAGACATGTGGGTTGAGGGCAAGTAGAGGGGAGCAGTGAGTAGGGGCAGCCATGGGGAGCAGAGGGATGCTGTGGGTGAGGTGAGCAGCGGGACACCATGAAGGAGATGTGCAGGTTGTGGGTGAGGTGAGGGATGCCATGAAGGAGATGCGCAGGTCGGAGGTGAGGGATGCCATGAAGGAGATGCGCGGGTCGGAGGTGAGGGGCGCCATGAAGGAGTTGGGTGGGTCAGAGGTGAGGTGAGGGACACCATGAATGAGTTGGTTGGGGGTGAGGTGAGGGACGCCATGAAGGAGATGTGTGGTTCGGGGGTGAGGTGAGGGACGCCATGGAGGAGATGATTCGGAGGTGAGGGACGCCATGAAGGAGATGCGTGGTTCGGGGGTGAGGTGAGGGATGCCATGGAGGAGATGGTTCGTGGGTGAGGGACGCCATGAAGGAGATGCTTGGGTCGGGGCTGTGTAGAGGGACGCCATGGGCAAGACGCATGGTTCGTGGACAAGCAGAGGGATGTCATTGGTTGAGGTGGCCAAGGGTGACGTGTGGAGCAAAGGGATGCAGTGGTTTGGCGTGACCATGGGTGATGTAGGGAGCAGATGGGCACCGTGGGTAGGGATGGCTGTGGATGATGCGCAGGGTAGAGGGACGCCACGGGTGAGGTGCATGGGATCAGAAGAGGGATACAAGGGGTGAAATGTGTGGGGTGGTCAGAGGGATGGTGGGGTTGAGATGTTTGGGCCGGGTCGAGGTGGTCTGAGATGTTACAAGTGAGACGCGTGTGGTTTGGGAGTGGAGATCTATGCAGACGTCCTAAGACTTGGTTCTGCATTCTGCGGCACCTATATGGATGTTGTATGTGAAGTACCCGGGAATCTCATCAGCACCCCATGTCCTCCTCCTGTACGCCTTCGCTGTATCCTCCTGTCACCGTACATGTCTATTGCAGCACGCCCTGATGCCCCCCCCCCCCCCCCCATCCTACAACAATGACGCACTTTCCATCTCTGTATCTTTCTCCCGTTCATCATCACAGTCCCATCCTCAGCTGCTCTCAGACAGATCCCAGAACAATGGCAGTTGTGCAGAGCAGATGGCTGGTTTCTGAGAACAATGGTCATCCAGACGCGGCTTACACCTGTCTCCTGCAGCGACCTGTACACACTTCACTGAAAGGGGACCTGTCGGCATGGAAACAAGAGGCGTGGCCAATGCTGACCTCATCTTGAAGATGCAGGTTTTTATGGCAGCCATGCTCCTCGGTGACTCAGCAAAGTAGTTGGCATGCTATTGCTGACCTGCTATTGAACATTCTAACTGCCCGGCTGCCATGCTTAGTCACTGCCTGTAATTGGGGAAGTCAGAAGTCCTTCTCTACCCTTCTGTTGAAGTCTTGAGTCCATTTGATGTGGAGTCCACCTTGTCGGATAGGGAGCTGTTCTCTCAGGACAGGTCCTCTTAGTGGAAATGGATGGATGCTACCCACAGATCTGGAACGTGACCTTCAAGTCCACAGTGGTGGCATCTGGTATCTCTAAGCTTCCTAGATGTCCATCCCTGATACGTCTCACCACCATGGCCCTGTGTAGTCCTCCCATCCCAGTACCCCTCCATCTCTTCCCATAGGTTTCCATGGGCCTGTCGGCCGATACAGGAGATTGAGGAAAGATTAGGAGGAACGGAATTTATTCTCGAAGAGGAGATTAAGGGGGGATATGATCTCCATGTATAATACATAAGGGGGGGATATGATCTCCATGTATAATACATAAGGGGGGGATACGATCTCCATGTATAATACATAAGGGGGGGATACGATCTCCATGTATAATACATAAGGGGGGGATACGATCTCCATGTATAATACATAAGGGGGGGATACGATCTCCATGTGTAATACATAAGGGGGGGATACGATCTCCATGTGTAATACATAAGGGGGGGATACGATCTCCATGTGTAATACATAAGGGGGGGATACGATCTCCATGTATAATACATAAGGGGGGATACGATCTCCATGTGTAATACATAAGGGGGGATACGATCTCCATGTGTAATACTTAAGGGGTTCATATAGTGAACTCTGTGTAGAATTATTCCCCCTGAGGTCATCACAGAGGACAAGGGGGCTCTTTACGTCTGGAGGAAAAGAAATGTAATCTCCAAACACAGAAAGGTTTCTTCACAGTAAGAGCTGTGAGAATGTGGAATAGACTCCCTCAAGAGTTGGTTGTGGCAGCTCAGTGGATTGCTGTAGGAAAGTCCTGGATTCTTTCTTGGATACACAGAATATAACTGGATATAACATTTATAGGTAAAAGTTGATCCAGGGAATATCCGATTGCCTCTCGGGGGAACAGGGAGGAATTTTTTTCCACTGCAGGAGCAAATTGGATCGTGCTTTTTGAGTTTTTTATTATATATATATATATATATATATATATATATATATATATATATATATATATATATATATATATATATATATATATATATATATATATATATATATTATATATATATATATATATATATAGACATATGGACTTTTGTCTTTTTTCAGCCAGACTAACTAACTTTTGCCTGGAGATGACGACTCCAAGGCTGTTGGTAAAACGATGGTTGGTATGAATCTGTCAGACTCCATATTCTAGTTCAGGATCAGATTGGCTGTAGGTGGAATGTGGAGAATGTCTCCATTCCAACTGTCACTTTCTTCTACTAAAAATAGTCGGCTTGGTCTTTGTTACACTCTGGAAACGTATCGCCAACTCCCAGAAGATCTTGCAGCCGACAGTGTGATAATACAATCGTGTCTTTCCCCAGATGCCAGAAGAAGTCCATCATGGCGAGGAGGAGGTGGAGACTTTTGCTTTCCAGGCTGAGATTGCTCAGCTTATGTCCTTAATCATCAACACCTTCTACTCCAACAAAGAAATCTTCCTGCGAGAGCTGATCTCCAATGCCTCTGATGTAAGTCTGCATCCCCATATTTTGGGTGTGGGGGGGAATCTACCACGTCTGTTTGGGTGGCCACCATGGCGTCAATGACCTTTGCCTTGTTTCAGGCCCTGGATAAGATCCGCTATGAGAGCCTTACAGACCCCTCCAAGCTGGACAACGGAAAGGAGCTCAAAATCGACATCATCCCCAACCGTCATGAGCGTACCCTGACCTTGGTGGATACTGGCATTGGTATGACAAAGGCCGACCTCATCAACAACCTGGGAACCATCGCCAAGTCTGGCACCAAGGCCTTTATGGAGGCCCTGCAGGTAATGGGAATAAGTTTGGTTGACTTGTGATTGTTCCTGAGTCGTGATCTCCCCCACAAACCACATCTGATCCCTCTTGTAGGCTGGAGCAGACATCTCCATGATTGGCCAGTTCGGTGTTGGTTTCTACTCTGCATACCTGGTGGCCGAGAAGGTTGTGGTGATCACCAAACACAATGACGATGAGCAGTACGCCTGGGAATCCTCTGCCGGTGGATCCTTCACTGTTAAGACCGACCACGGTAAGTAGCTATGAGGTGTTTACTGACTGAAGTTTTTAGGTGGATTTTAGCCTTTTCACTGCCAGTTGTTGGTTGTTTTTTTTATCACGCGTCTAAAAAAAAAAAAGTAATAATAATAATTTTTAGGCCTGAAGATTTCAGAAAATATACAATGCTTTGGGAATTTATGCAGACACACCCTAGGGCAGGGGTGTCAATTTGGCAGCCCTCCAAGTGTTGCCAAACTACAAGTCCCATGAGGCATTGCAAGATTGACAGGTACAAGCATGACTCCCAAAGGCAGAGGTATGATGGGACTTGTAGTTTTGCAACAGCTGGACCACCAGTTTGACACCCCTGCCCTAGAGAATAAAATAGTGGTACTGCTATTTAATAAATGTATAAAAAAATATATATATATATATATATATATATATATATATATATATATATATATATATATATAAATATAATATTTTGTTGTAAATACCCAACATGTCAATTCTTGAATCTGACATGGCGACAAACTTCGGTACCCTATATTTTTCCATAGGCAAAACTTTAAAAGCCCCCTATAGGTCATCAGTTACGGAGGAAACAAAATGCTCGCTCCAGCATGTGCGGCGGTATGTAATGTGTCTTCAACCTTTACTCTTTCCTGGCCCAGGTGAACCTATTGGCCGCGGCACTAAAAGTCATTCTGCACCTGAAGGAGGACCAGACAGAGTACCTGGAGGAGAAGAGGGTAAAGGAGGTGGTGAAGAAACACTCTCAGTTCATCGGCTATCCCATCACACTCTATGTAAGTATTCCCAAAATGGACTCTGCATCTACTTGGCCAGTAAAGGGTTACAATAAGTTTTCTTGGAGAATGTTGGAACGTTTAGATATAGAAATGACGGGGCCACATTCATAGTGTGGGACAGTCTTTCTCAACCTTTAGCATGGAACGACTCTAGAAAGCATTTTTCCTGTGCCGGAACACCTGCTAATGACTTTATCTACAATTCGTAGCACCTAGTGTGATAATCATTGGAAAATTCATTCCCCCCCTTGGATAGCTAAAAAAAGACCATTGTTGTCAGTGGTTGGTTATCTGAGAAGCAGAATGTAACGGAACCGGACCCCGACTGCACTAGGGTATTTCCATTTGTCTCCCGCTTCCCTGTCCGAACACAGATCCACGGACACCACCGCTGGCCATTCAAGACAAGACAGCACCAGACTCCTATTAAAACAGGAAATGGACGGCTTTATTTTAACACAGGCACAAGATATATACATTGAAGGGAACAACCCACCTCCCTGCATAAGGACGCAGGGCAAACCAAATCTAGCAACACAGAGACATCAGCAGACCCCCCCCCCCCCCCCCCCCCCCCCCCCCCCTCCCCCCCCCCCCCCATTGCCACCAAACCAGTACACACATACATCCCATAATAGTTTTGCTCCCAAGCAAGACACAATAGAAGACTGGGACCACCTGGCAGACAATGAGCAACCCCCACACCCCACCCTATACATGTTTACACAATATCAGGACATTCCACCCTGTACCCCTAACAGGCACAGGGTGACTTACACATAATAGGAATATGGGGAGCTGAGACGGGTCTCCCCACCTCTCCAAAGGGGACTATTTTCCATGGGCCCCCCACCCAAAGTCACTCCTGTCACACAGAAATTGCTCAAGAAAACATAAGCAACCTCTGGAGGAACCCTAGGGTTCAACAGAACACGTTTTGAGAGAGGCTGGTATAGAAAGTACAACTTCTGCCTTTATAGCCCCTTAAAGCAGATCTGAGGCCCTCCCCAACCTACCTGAATGTGGTATCTGCACACTTCAGATACTCACTGATCCAGTGGATCCAGGCATTGTCCCGCTGAGATCTTCTCATGCCATGCGCCATGTTTCCTCTGACGTCGTTGGGTGGGCCTCTGATGCACCGATGGGCCCACCCCCTCCTTTCCACAATGGAAGGCTATGCCTCCTGGGATATGTGACGTACATATGCCAGGAGGCACAGTGGGTGGTGTCATTTTGCCTAAGGCGAATGATGTGCATGGGGAGGCGGACCGGATCTTTATCAAATTTAAAAAGGTGATCTGTTTACAGGATGGGAGGAGGGGTGGAATGCAATAAACGTTACGTTAAATGTAACCTGACATGCATTTGTAGATGCAGGCCTTCACTCCTTACCCCTGCTGTCTCCTGAGGCTTCTTGGCCTTCACTCCTTACCCCTGCTGTCTCCTGAGGCTTCTTGGCCTTCAACTCCTTACCCCTGCTGTCTCCTGAGGCTTCTTGGCCTTCACTCCTTACCCCTGCTGTCCCCCGAGGCTTCTTGGCCTTCCCTCCTTTACCCCTGCTGTCCCCCGAGGCTTCTTGGCCTTCACTCCTTACCCCTGCTGTCCCCCGAGGCTTCTTGGCCTTCACTCCTTACCCCTGCTGTCTCCTGAGGCTTCTTGGCCTTCCCAATCCTTACCCCTGCTGTCCCCCGAGGCTTCTTGGCCTTCCCTCCTTACCCCTGCTGTCCCCCGAGGCTTCTTGGCCTTCCCTCCTCCTTACCCCTGCTGTCCCCCGAGGCTTCTTGGCCTTCCCTCCTTACCCCTGCTGTGTCCCCCGAGGCTTCTTGGCCTTCCCTCCTTACCCTGCTGTCCCCCGAGGCTTCTTGGCCTCACTACTTACCCCTGCTGTCCCCCGAGGCTTCTTGGCCTTCACTCCTCCTTACCCCTGCTGTCCCCCGAGGCTTCTTGGCCTTCACTCCTCCTTACCCCTGCTGTCCCCCGAGGCTTCTTGGCCTTCACTCCTCCTTACCCCTGCTGTCCCCCGAGGCTTCTTGGCCTTCACTCCTCCTTACCCCTGCTGTCCCCCGAGGCTTCTTGGCCTTCACTCCTCCTTACCCCTGCTGTCCCCCGAGGCTTCTTGACCTTCCCTCCTTTACCCCTGCTGTCCCCCCGAGGCTTCTTGGCCTTCCCTCCTTTACCCCTGCTGTCCCCCGAGGCTTCTTGGCCTTCACTACTTACCCCCTGCTGTCCCCCGAGGCTTCTTGGCCTTCCCTCCTTTACCCCTGCTGTCCCCCGAGGCTTCTTGGCCTTCACTACTTACCCCTGCTGTCCCCCGAGGCTTCTTGGCCTTCCCTCCTCCTTACCCCTGCTGTCCCCCGAGGCTTCTTGGGTCTCTCCAAATGTTCTATCTGCTGCTTTTGGAACAATCATCAGCAGAACGGTCGGCAAAACACATGTATGGCAGCGTTGTATCTGCACAGTGTACATTGGCACAAGCAATGGTGGGTGGAGTGTCAGTAGTTGGCTGTCTTGCATCTGCACAGGAAGGTTTACGTGGTGTAAGCTTTGCATAGGACACTGCTCTTTGCCCAGTACAAGTTGTTGCGTTGTTGATGGACCAGGTTAACTGTTTCCATGCCACCCTATACTAGAAATACTGCTACAGGGCTGCGCAAAATCGTGTGTATACGTGATTTTTCAGATTTGGCGCGGGGTGCGCGTTTGCATTACCCGCGTCACCATTTGCAGCCTCAGCTGTCAATCACCGGGTCCCGGCCAGTGATTCCCCGCCGACACCAAGTGATCTCCGAGGATTTCTACTGGGGGAGAGGTCTGTATGTGAACAATACAGATCTCTCCCCTGTCGGCTCCTACGCACTGCTTTGTATGGCTCTGCATAGCAGTGTGCTTACAGTGTAAAGTGCCCATACAGTAAAACAGCACACAGCCCTTTGATCACCCCAGATGTTAACCCCTTCCTGCCCAGTGCCATTAGTACAGTGTTGGTGCTTTTTATTAGCACTGATCACTGTATTGGTGTCACTGGGGATGTCGGTGATACCTAGTCAGTGCCTGCCGCAGTCCTATAAGTCACTGATCGCCGTCATTACTAGGTAAAAAAAATTCAGCTTTTTAGTGCTATTACACTTTGACTGACACTTGCGCGGTCATGCAACACTGCACCCATATGAATTTTTTTAGCTTTTTTTTTTTTTTTTTTTTTTTTTTTTTTTTTGACCGCTTTATTTTGGTGGTATTTATTCACCACTGGGAATGGTGCTGGGTAAATTAAAGTCCAAACGTTTTGAAAAGTGTTTTTCTTACAAAATTTTGCAAATAGTATTTCATCATAAATCTTGGCCAAAATGTATTCTGTTATCTTTTGAGAGAAAAAATAACCCAAATTAGGTTAAACTTTTTTGTAATTTTTTTTTTTTTTTTTATTGCTTTTACACCCATAAAGGCTGTAAAAGCAATCGCTTCTCCTCTGGCTGCATTCTTGCAGCCATTGAGAAATACTGTGTGAGTTGTGATTGGTCACAGCTTGTCACATGGTACAAGGCTGTTGTGAATGGCCCTGTACCATGTGACCTCTGTGATCATTCACAGATTTCACACATAGTAAGCAATGATGTCAGAAGTGACATCTTACTACTGTGTGATCACTGGCTAATCAGTGATCACATGATCGGGACCTCACACAGAGGTCCCTTCTGATCAGTGTTCCACTGTGTCCGGGGGACACAGCGGGCACTGGATCGTGGTGCTGCGCGCTCCCAGGGAGCGTGCACAAACAGGTTGGGGAGGCCGTTTATAAACTGCCACCCAACCCTGCACTGCCACCGTCTGGCCGTTGCATGGCCGGACGGGAAGTAGTTAAGTAGTGGTGAAAATCTAACTTCCATCCAATTCTCCACTTTATCTGAAACTTGTGCCATGCTTTAAGAATGAAGTATGCCATGTCCAGTATGTAGTGCAGTGTTGCTGATCTGTCTGGCAATGTTGAACGATCATTTTGCTGCAAACATCTGAAAAAGGTGTATTGCTTGTCCATCTCCGTTGCCATGAAGGACAAGGGCTGGAGAGGAGATGCGGAGTCGTTCTATACTGATGGCTTTTGTTTTTCCTGGCAGCTGGAGAAGGAAAGGGACAAGGAGATTAGCGATGATGAGGCTGAGGAGGAGAAGGAAGAGGAGAAAAAAGATGAGGAAGCCACTGAAGACAAACCCAAGATAGAGGATGTGGGCTCTGATGAGGAAGAGGAGGCAAAGGACAAAAAGAAAAAGACAAAGAAGATCAAAGAGAAATACATCGACCAGGAGGAACTGAACAAGACCAAACCAATCTGGACTCGCAATCCCGATGACATCAGCCAGGAAGAGTATGGAGAATTCTACAAGAGTCTGACCAACGACTGGGAGGACCATCTGGCTGTAAAGGTGAGCAGTGGTGGTATGGTGGGTGGGGACATCTGGGTGGTGGTATGTGGGGACATCTGGGTGGTGGTATGGTATGTGGGGACATCTGGGTGGTGGTATGTGGGGACATCTGGGTGGTGGTATGTGGGGACATCTGGGTGGTGGTATGTGGGGACATCTGGGTGGTGGTATGTGGGGACATCTGGGTGGTGGTATGTGGGGACATCTGGGTGGTGGTATGTGGGGACATCTGGGTGGTGGTATGTGGGGACATCTGCTATGTGGAGGGTTTGAAGGATCTGTGCGCCCCCCACCCTGTATCTATGCTTTAAAGATGTGAGCACAAATGCCATGTACCTTAATTGATCCTCTACTCCCAATTCATTCTCCAGCACTTCTCTGTGGAGGGTCAGTTGGAATTCCGCGCTCTTCTCTTCATCCCTCGCCGCGCTCCCTTTGACCTGTTTGAGAACAAGAAGAAAAAGAACAACATCAAGCTGTATGTGCGCCGAGTGTTCATCATGGACAGCTGTGACGAGCTGATCCCAGAGTACCTGAGTAAGTGTTCAGTCCTTGCTGTTGAAACTGATAATGCTCAGATCCCTGGAAACTTACACCTGCCACAATATCACCCTTACCTAAAGTGTAATCAAGCAACTGAACAGCAGATTGCACAGCGTGCACTGTTTTTTTTTTTTTTTTTTTTTTTTTTTTTTGAATGTGTATACTCCTAGGTTGTCCTCCACCTCCATCCTTCACTACTTGGGAGGTCTACCCGGAAAAAACCTGTGACCTTATGCTCATGCTTGTTCCAGGTCACTCTGTGAAGATGCAGATGACAGGCCTGGAACATGTTCTAAATACATCAGAAGGCTCCAGGTTTCCAATAATGGGTTCATCTAACATTTTGAGTAGCTTTGTAATTTTGAGGTAGACTTGTCAATTTTTATTCACATCTCATAATTAAAAAACCCCAACACTTCTCATGTAGTGTCCCTCCTGAGGATGCTTTAATTTTGTCCTGGAGATGACCACTAATTCTTTTTATGTCAGACTTCATCCGTGGTGTGGTGGACTCCGAGGACCTTCCTCTGAACATCTCCCGAGAGATGCTGCAACAGAGTAAAATCCTGAAGGTCATCCGTAAAAACATCGTGAAGAAATGTCTGGAGCTCTTCTCTGAGCTGGCAGAGGACAAGGAGAACTACAAGAAGTTCTATGAGGCTTTCTCCAAGAACCTGAAGGTGAGCTCAATGGGGGGGTTGTGCTTTAGGGATAAATTGATCTCTTTATCCTGGTGTGGTGTTAACTCTTGGGAGGGCCTTACCTCTACTTTATCTTAATAGACCATTAGCCATCAGTGGTTTTTGTTGTGTTTATTTTAGTTGTACAGGCTCTTCTGTGCTGCAGTAAGTTGGATAGAGCCCACCTCATTTCCTGGCCAGGGAGGATGCAGCATTGTCTAGCCTTCCAGCAGGACTGGCCCACTTCTTTCATTCATTGGCCTTCAGCCTTATCAATCATGTAGGCTCAGCCTTACATATGGGTGTTTGCTGTCTGACTAGGAACGCCCTCTCCTCCAGACTGACACTCACCCCTGAGAGTGTGGTAGGTCCTAAGCCAGGCCACTGCTTGGATCAGCTAGGGGTTCTTGAGGAGCACTGAGGAAGAGTGCTGTGATGTATAGTACCCTGCCAACCCTTCCCACCAGCCATGATCTGCCTGCATTGCATAGAGACACTGATGATTATATAAGGTATGTGGGGAAAGGATAATTGGCATATTGATGAAGGGGTGTCAGGAGCAGGAGAGGAACCAGGGAAAGCAAAATGAAAACTTCAGCTTTAAGGGCTCGTTCACACTAGAATGTGATGCGGAAGAGCTGCATTTCCCGTGTGGCTTCCTGCACCGCATTCTGATCACAATGCACTTGCAATCTGCTGTGGGGGTCAGTTAACTTTATCGACACCCCTAGAGCAGGTCATAAATGCATTGCATTTGTCTGCACCAAACTGCATGGTTAACCCCAACTGGGACAGAAGAGAAAATAAAAACCTGACAGAGGCATGAACACTTGTATGTAAAATGGGGTTGGGGGATTTGGCTTTAGATTCACATTGCTTTCCCTAAACACCCCTTTTTAATACTGTAAAATCTTTCTCCTGTTAGCTTGGGGACAAACCCTTCATCGGCTAAATCTACACTGACCTCCTAGTGCCATGTAGGTTTCTGCTAATCGGCCACTTATCACTGGGGAGGGCTTTCTGGTGGTCTGACAAATGTTTCTATCCTCATAGCTGGGAATCCATGAAGATTCTACAAACCGGAAAAAGCTGTCTGAACTCCTGAGGTATCACACCTCTCAGACCGGAGATGAAATGGCTTCCCTTTCTGAATACGTCTCTCGTATGAAGGAGAATCAGAAGAGCATCTACTACATCACTGGTGAGACTTGCACTGTGGATGGTGGTGATAGAGGAAGGGTGGTGGGATGGATAGGAGGAATGATAAGGTGGTGATAGAGGAATGATGGAATATGAGAGGATAGGTTGTTGGATTGGGGTGAGTGTGGTGATGAGTGGGGAAGGATTGGAGGGATATGAGAAGATACAGTGGTGATGAGGAAGAATGGGGATGAGATTAACGGTGGTGATAAAGGATTGGGGGATATGAGGGGTGGTGAGGAAGGACTGGGATGAGAAGAATTGGGGGATGAGGTGAAGAGGAGAATTTTGGGGATGAGGTGAAAGGTGGTGATAAAGGATTGGGGCATATGAGGGATACGGTGGTGATGGACTGGGATGAGAAGAGAATTGGGGGTTGACTGGTGGTAAGAGGATGGGGAAGGGATTTGAGGGGATGGGGTGGTGGAGATTTTGAGAAAGTATGAGGCATGTGAAAACTGACCTCTGCATCGGATCCTGCAGGGGAGAGCAAGGAACAAGTGGCCAACTCTGCCTTCGTGGAGCGGGTGAGGAAACGCGGCTTTGAGGTGGTGTACATGACCGAACCAATCGACGAGTACTGTGTCCAGCAGCTAAAGGAGTTTGATGGAAAGACCCTGGTGTCTGTAACCAAGGAGGGCCTGGAGCTTCCTGAAGACGAGGAGGAGAAGAAAAAGATGGAGGAGAACAAGACCAAGTTTGAGGGTCTGTGCAAACTGATGAAAGAAATCTTGGACAAAAAAGTAGAAAAGGTGAGCTGAAGACAGTTGACCTGTAAGGACTGACTTCCTACGACTTTCAGTTTGATGGCACTGCATGTACTTGTGCTCCGCTGCCTCTTCCTTTCCAATTAATAGAAATTTATTCTTTCTCTCAAAGGTAACGGTTTCCAACCGCCTGGTGTCCTCTCCTTGCTGCATCGTCACCAGTACATACGGCTGGACAGCTAACATGGAACGTATCATGAAGGCCCAGGCTCTACGGGATAACTCCACCATGGGCTACATGATGGCCAAGAAACACCTGGAGATCAACCCCGAACACCCCATCGTGGAGACCCTCAGACAGAAAGCAGAGGCTGACAAAAATGACAAGGCGGTGAAGGATCTGGTGGTGCTGCTTTTCGAGACGGCTCTTCTTTCATCTGGCTTCTCCCTGGATGACCCCCAGACACATTCCAACAGAATCTACAGAATGATCAAACTGGGCCTGGGTAAGTCAATGGAACTCTGTACCTAGTCCTGCTTTTGAGGGACATTTTATCAAGCAAATGGGCGATAACCTAGATGAACCTCTATTTCAAATCCTTAGACAAGAGTTTGGCTCCTACACCTGAAATCCTGAGCAGCAAACCAACACTTTTGAAAGTTTGCAGCATATTTCACAATGTAGATCAGATGTTCCACTCTGAATATACACAATGAAGTAGTCGGGTTAATGTCTGCGCTGTTTGGGACCGCTGAGGGGCAGAATTTGACATTGGCTTGCTGTGTCCGAAATGATGCATCTCACTGGTTCCAAACTGACCACACTGATTTTAGAAGATGTTCTAGGCCTCTGGTCATACAATGACCAAAATTCATTCTGTGCACATGTTCCATCTGATATGTTGGAAGAGGAGAGTCTGGACCAGGAGTAAGGACTCCGCATACTATACACACTAACATTTGTATAAAAACAGATTCTTGATCTGCATATATGTGCAAGCCTGCCAACTGCCCCAGTGATCCCTTTCTGACCAGTCCGGACATGACTGCAAAATGTCAAAGGGCTCATGTACATTGCAGATGATAAACCTCATGTATTAGAAGCTGTGCAGCGTTTTTGTGTTTGTTGTTTTTTTTTTTTTTTTTTTTTTGCTAGGCAGATTTTAAACATAGCAAAAAATACATGCTTTTCCTGCAGTGTTCCCATTGAAGTCTATAGAACCAAAAATGCAACTTTTTGGCATTTAAAAAAAAGAAAATTCCTTACCCTTTCTGAAAAATCCATCAGATGTAAACCTGTCCCGTAGGAAATCATGTTAAATGGGACTGTACAGTACAGAGTTTCTGGAAAATACTTAGGTTTGACCCTGGGGTAAAACCAAATTTCAGGAGCTGCATGGCCTAATCAAAGCTGGGATGAAATTTGGTGCTGCCCATTGACCAGGAAGCTTGTTTTTTTTTTTTTTTTTTCTTTTTCAATATACTGGATTAATATTGCGCCAACAGTTTGCGCAGCACTTTACAAAATTAAGGTAGACATTAGTTACAATACAATCTGGTTCATGTGATCAGCAGCCACAACCTAGTGCACGTGTAAGCTGAAGGCTTCAGAGAAATGAGTTTCAGTATGCAGAGGCTGCTGTAAAATCTTTTTAATACTGTAATTGTTTGACACAATGTGGTTGTAATGGCTCAAGGTTTTTTTTTTTGCTTTCTATGTGTGGGTTTTTTAAAATGTTCTGTGTGCAGCAGCCCACCCTTGAGCCCCATCTCGATCCAGCGATGTGCACAAGAGCCTAAGACGGTTGGGTCTATCCTTCCTCATTGGCAGAGACATCAGCAGGCACCATTGGCTCCCGCTACTGGCATCACAGCCAGTGAGTCAATGAGGAAAGAGCAGCAGGGTGCGGCTGAGCAGCTCAGGAGTGAGCTGGTGCTCCCATAGCAAGCGGATTGCTGTGGGGGGGCACTTGGCAGGAGGGAGGAGACAGGAGCACCACCAGGGGACCTAGGAAAGGGGTGCCTGTCTGTGTGCCCATCTCCTTTACAGTGAAGGACACTACTTAATTTTGGCTTTTGGTACCAATTGTCTGTTGGCATGTAATGTTAAACAAATGAAGATAGTAGTAGAATTTGGACCTTTTTTGATGTGGTTTGGACCTCGTATCTAGATGGTGGGTAATGAAATGATTTTGGTTTCCAAGTCTTTGGCTCTGTGTAATCACTGCTGTACTTTCAGGTATTGATGAGGATGAACCCGCAATTGAGGAAACTACTGCAGCTGTACCAGATGATATCCCCCCTGGAGGGCGAGGAAGACGCATCTCGCATGGAGGAAGTGGATTAATATGCTCATTCCCCCCCTCTTTACCCTCCCCCAACCCCCTCTATCTGTTTGCTGTTCCCAGGGAGCTTGCTACTCAGACTCTGGACTGAAAAGGATACCCATTACTGGGGGTGTAAAAGGACAGTGGCTGCTAAACCTTCTCTGCCCCCTGGTTAATAATTTGCACTGCAGTATGCCCCCTGTGGGTTGGGGGGGCTGTAATTTAACCCTGTGCTCCCACTGTACACCTAGATCGTTGGCGGATGTGCGGCCCCCTTTCTGCCTGGCACGGCGTTTTTGTCCCCACATGACTGGATTCATAAGCTGCTGGAATGTTGTTCTCCCCTCCCGGCCAGTATATGAAGTCCTGGAGTAAGGACTGTCCATTGTGTATATTTGTAGTGCTTTCCAACCCCATTGCTGGCGCCTGGTCCTTCGCTGCCCCCACAGTGCCCTCAGGAAGTCCCAGAATGCTCATGTTTTTGCAGTCACCTCAGATTGTGTTCACAAACTTTATTTTGTATTTTCATTTGTTCGTAAACGTAAAATACATTATGCAAAATAAAGTCCTTTTTACAGTGTCTTCTGTTTGTCTAACTTCACATTAACTTGTCCGGGGGGGGGGGGGGGGGGGGGGGGGGGGCGTGGGGCTCCCTGAGCAAAAGTGTGCCCTGCGTCGGGGGGGGGGGGGGGGGGGGGGGCGTGGGGCTCCCCGGGCAAGAGTGTGCCCTGCGTCGGGGGGCTCCCCGGGCAAGAGTGTGCCCTGCGTCGGGGGGGGGGGGGGGGGGGGCATGGACACACTTGCAAGCAAATTTAACTTTTATTTACATGATGGAAGACTGTTTCTACAGCGGATGTAGAAAAGCATCTTCCCTCCTTTTTTTTTTTTTTTTTTTTTTTTTTTTTTTTTTAATTAAAATCTCTTCATTTTGAAATGAATGACAGTTCTTGTTTTATACAGCTGTATTTACTCAGTGCCACCATAACATCAAGTGAAATCTATAACACATGTTGGAAAAAAATGAACCGAAATCCCTGAGTTGAAAAGTATTTCTCCCCCCCCCCCCCCCCCCCCCACCCCCCCCCCCCCACCTTGTCAGTATATTGTTTTTTGAACCTTATTTGGCTGTAATTCCAGCCTTTAGTCGGTTGGGATGTCTCTTCTAACTTTGCACATCTAGACTTTGCAGCATTTGCCCACTCTTCTTTGCAGAACGGCCTCAGGATCAGTTCCATGTGATGGTGACCATTGCGAATTGCAGTTTTCAAGTCATTCCACAGATTTTCAATGGGCTTTAGGTCTGGGCTCTGACTTGGCCTCGCAAGGACATTCCCCTTCTCCAACCACTGGGGGGTCATTATTGCTTTGTGATTTGGATCATCGTCATGCTGGAATGTAAACCTTCCCATGGACAATGTTCTAACAGGGTGGCAGATTTTCCTCCAGAATTTGATGGGATTTTGCCCCATCCATATTCCCTTCTAGCCTGACGTGCTGCAGAGAACCCCCCCCATAATGGGATATTCCCCCCTCCATGCTGTAGGAATGGTGGGATTTGGATGGGGAGCTGGATTGGATTTTCGCCAGACATCTCGTTTAGTGTTGAGGCCAAATTTTTAGTCTCCTCTGACCAGAACCTCTTTCTCCATGTGACCTCAGAATCTTTAAGGGGAGTTTAGGCAAAGCTCTGGTGACGGCATGTGGCCTTTCTTCAGTGGCTTTTTTTTTTTTTTTCTTGCACCCTCCCATACAATTCACATTTGCGCAGGATTTGTGATATTGGTGTCACATGACTAGTCTGTCATTTCCTGACACAGCTTCAGAGTTTCTGTAGGCCTCTTGGTCGCCTCTCTGACCAGTTTCCTCCTGGCTCTTCCATCCAGTTTTGAGTGATGTCCTGATCCAGGGAGTGTCTGTTGTACCAAATACCTTCCACTTCATGATGGGCTTCACTCTGCTTCTAGGCATTGATAAAGCCGTTGATCTTTTGCATCCATCTCCTGACTTGTGCCTGTCCAACTTCATCCTGGAGAGCTTTTGACAGTGCCTTGCCACCCATAGTTGATTGTTGCTTCAGTTGCTCAACCAGGGACTGAAATGTTCCAGGAAAGCTCTTTTCATGCTGAGCTAATCAAAATGACCACAGCTGAAAGTCAAGTGGCTTAAGAAGGTGATTTGACCTGATTGAGTTAAAGTCCTTTTTAGGAGGGGGGCGATCTTTTTGTCCAACTCGGTGACATTCATTTTCATTTTCTGACATGTTGGTGTTACATCCTTCACTTGGATGTAAATATAGCTGGATAAAACACAAACTGTCAGTCTTCATTTCAGACTGCAAAGCCACAAAATGTTTTTATTTAAAAAAAGGGGGGGGGGGGGGTTTCTTTTCTATGCCCACTGTGTAAATGGACTGTCACTTTTTTGCATTTTTTTTTTTTTTTTTTTTCTATTGTCTATTGCTGATATTCACACATTGGTCATCACAATTTTTCTTTTGGAATCTTAAAGTGATACTGAAAACACTGTTTAATTTACATTATCCCTTCTTTCTGTATGTGGGTGACTGCACTGTAATTCTTTTTAATTAAAAAATAACTTTTTTTTTTTCCCATAATCGATATACAGCTGTCAGATGACCCAGCTCTTTTCCCAGCCTGTCTGCAGGGAAACAGTGGCAGGAGGAGCTTCTAGTTCTCTGCTGCTGGTCACATGTTCAAAATTTAAAAGAAAAAACAGCCTTTGGGATACAATAGCAAACAGTTTTAAATTATCATACAAATATTTTACATTTTTTTTTTTTTTTTTCCTTTTTTGCATTAACATGGTGTCGGTGGATTTTTGCCAATCACAGGCAGTATCACACCCCTCCAGTCTTAGAACAGGAAGGTGAAGCCTCCATCAATCAAGATGTAATATCCAACCCTCCATTGTGTTTAGCTGGTTAGTGGGCATGGAGGACGAGGAAGGGAGTGGGCTGTCTATTTATCACTATGGATACACCCACATGGTTGACTCTAGTTACTTAGATGTGATAGGGAGGAAATGCTCAGCAGGGAAACTTGCTGAAAACTGAGCATGTGCAGTAGCTGCCAACAGTGCTCTGCGAAATCCCCAACTGCACTAGGGACATGGACAGGAGGAGGAGACAGTGAAAAGTAAGATCAACCAGGTTTTTGCAGAATACAGAAAATGAATCTTATGGTGACTGAGTATGAACAGCATGTATTACAGCATTTACTGATGTGGGTTTAGTGACACCAATGTTCACTGATATGTTGTGTTAATTGTATATCTCTTGGCAGATGTGCTGTGTTCTGGATTGGCCAGATTTTCTGCCACGGTCATATTTTCTGTCTACTTTATGGTTGCGCCTGTGAAGGTACAGCCATTGAAACCTGAGGAATGGGGGTGATTTCTATTTCTTTTATCCCTACCCTCCTCAAGGCAAGAAAGTAGACCTCCAGGAAGGTGTACTGCAATACGTGGAAAGACTTTTTTTTTTTTTTTTTTTTCCCCATGCCCCCCGGTGTGAGGTTTAAAAGGTTCATTCCTGACAGTATGTTGGGTGCATTTTAGCTTTTTTCCAGTCTAATGTGAAGTTGTTTCTGGCTTTCTGTACCATTTAAGGGACAGATCTTGGCCATTTTGCTTCAGAGACCTGTCACTTCTCATTCCTTGGTAAAAGCCTTTTCTGCTGGTTGTCACATGGATTGTTCTGCCTGCACGGCTCCCCTTTGCATCCTTGGGACCTTAATTTGGTCTGTTTTGCAGACTTTTCCTTCAGAACCTCTCCTTATGCAAAGGGTTGTGGGTCTTTTTTTTTTTTTTTCTTTTCTTCACTGCTTTGGCTGGGCTTACCTGCAGGGAACCTTTCCTGTTTTTTTCACCAGGATAAGGTAGTGTTGAAGCCTTGGTACTTTCTTACCTTTTGTCGGTCCATCTGAATCAGGTGGACCAAACCTTATCTAATTCTTCACCAGGATAGGGTGGGTGTGGAGACCTTGGTCCTCCTTTCTTTGCTCCATCTGAATCAGGTAGATGGAACCTTGGTTCTTCACCAGGATAAGGAGGTGTTGAGGCCTTTTTGTCCTCCTTTTCTTACCTTTCTTCGTGTCATCTGAATCAGGTAGACGGAACCTTGTCTGGTTCTTTACCAGGATATGGTGGTGTGGTGACCTTGGTCCTCTTTCTGATCTTTCTTTGTTCCATCTGAATCAAGTGGACTGAAGCTTGCCTGATTCTTCACCAGGATAAGGTAGTGTTTGAGGCCTTGGTCCTCCTTTCTTACATTTATTTGTTCCATCTGAATCAGGTGCTACAAACCTTGCCTTGGTTCTTCAACAGGATAAGGTGGTGTGGAGACCTTAGTCCGCCCTTTCTTTGTTCCATCTGAATCATGTAGATGGAACCTTGTCTGGTGGTTCTCCAGGATAAGGTGGTGTTGAGGCCTTGGTCCTTTCTTACCTTTTTTCTTCTTTCTATCGGAATCAGGTAGACGGAACCTTGCCTGGTATTTTCACCAGGATAAGGAGGTGTGGAGACTTTTTTTTTTTTTTTTTTTCCTCTTTGTTCCATCTGAATCAGGTGGAACAAACCTTGCTTGTTCCTTCACCAGGATAAGGTGGTGTTTGAGACCTGGGTCCTCTTTCTTCCACCTGAAACATTGTTATCTTTTTGTCCTAAGCATTCTAAAGAGAAGGTGTTTCATGTGTTGGAGGATGTTTGAGCTATTCAAGTTTATCTGAAACCTACAGCTTTGTTTCAACAGTCTGATTCCCTGTTTGTTCTGCCTGATGGTCATCACAAGGGTCAGGTTGCTTCTCATTGCACTATTTTAGCTAACTTTTCAGGCCTAAGGTATCTAGGGCAAGGTTCCCCCCTGTCTTAGTCAAGGTCTAATCCATCAGGGATGTCGTGCATCCTGGGCAATTCAGCATCAAGCTTCGGTTCAAGTTTGTCTTTCACACATTTAGCTGCATTAACACCTAAGTTTTGTAGCTTGAAGCTCAAAGACGCTTAACGAGCAAAACCCCATTCGTTTCTATGACCACTATTGAAATGAATGGGATTTTGCTTGTTTAGCATCTTTGGGCTTCAAGCTACACAATG